AATAAATTGTTTCCTTTAACTCTACTCTCGCCTCACTCCTCTGCACTTGAGTCGTTCCCCTGGTGGCCTAGTGGGGGTTTGCTGGATTACTACGCCGGCAACCCGCGTTCGATTCCCAGCAAAACCCTAACAGACTCGCTTCATTTAAAAGTAGACAGCTCAAGCTTTCCATAGATATATTTCTCATCTCTGTGTCAAGTATTCGCTGAGTTTTGGTTCATTTTAGTGACGCGTTTCAAACAGATGTGCGCAGAGACTGAGACGGCTGAAAGCACACCCTGTATATTTACTTTATTTTACAAAAGCACAATCTCTCTCTCTCTCTGTGCTAGAAGCCGATGTAAGCGAGGACGAACAGCCTGGACCCCTGCATCCCGACACTCACCGACCTCTGTGCCTCCTGGGTCTCACCATAATGTTACTGCCCTGTGTTCGCCACATCCACTTCCGGGATAACTGCGGGCTCACCTTTCTACACCAGCCACCCTCACCTTCACACCAGTCTTTCCCACTTTTCCCCACTTCTGCCTCCTGTTGTCTGTGTTCTGCCCCTTGCAACCTCACAGTGCTACAATGTATACACTTTATGTAGGCACTTTAGCCAAAAGACAATGTAATTTACTTGATGCCCCAAAAATAAATGTAGAGCTTAATAGACAAGTGCTTTGTATTAGGTTGAAATCACTTTACCTTATCAATGACCCAGGGACTGTGGAAGTATCCATTTTCAGATGGCTGCCACCAACGTAGGCGAGTTGCAGTGGTGTGGGCTTGCAGTGGGATCTCTAGGGCGACAAGCTCAGCCTGATTACTGCTATTAGTGTAGAAGAATTTCTGTAGCAGGTTCCAGGATAACCCTCCATTCACTGAGAACTGGAGAAGCACAGGCTGGGAACGTGGGTCAGGAGAAGCTTTTCCACAACCCAGACGCAAAAAGAACTGTACAAACCTGTGTACAAATCAGGTGAAAACAGTTCAAGAACCTTCTCTGACTCATTAAAACTGACAATGTAAGCTGTATATACAGCGAGAAGAAATAAGTATAAATATGAACAAAAAAGGTATCTATTCACTATAACTATGAACAAAAAAGGTATCCATTCATAAGCATAAACAAATGTTTAAAAAACATAAAATGCAAAAAGTATTCAGACTACCGTCAAATATAAAAATATACAGAGCCATATACTGCAAAAAGTTATTTTTGCTCTGTATCTTTTTTTTCCATTTGAGTGTTGTCCCTGAGAGAAACTTTAAGAAGCTCCTTTTTTAATAACACCAGGTGCGATTTGCATGAAAAAAATTTTATATCTAGAACTTGATTTTTGTATGTAACCTTACATACACAGTTTGTACAGCCTCTTCCTATCTCCCTCACTGTAACATGAGTATTTAGTATTTGTCACATGTCACATGTACCATCTTGTCTTCCAATAAAGAGAAAGGGAGAGGTGAGCATTTTTCTCATTATGATCTAAGATGAGAGAAAAGTAGGCCTCCTCTTTTCAGCCAAATTGTGCATGGCAATAAACATAGGAGACAGAGTTTTTCTCTTTTACGGTCCATATTGGTTGCCTGTTGGACCCAGAGAGAGCAAAGAAAGGCTGGTGAAGTCCTTTTGATGGATATACTCATCTTACATACTTCCGGTTGCTATAAAGGTACATTAATAGTAACATGTGCCCCCTATCTCTGGATGCATAGTATTCACTTCTCTTCTGGTAGTGAATACATGTCTTAGCACTAGTTACCTGGCATTAGACAAATCCATGTCTATAGATTCCAACATGCGTAATCCATCCTCGTTGAAGAACAGGTGGTTTCCGCTGGCCATGATGCCACATTTCCTAGAGGGCTTTCCACCACTCACCACTTTGAAATTCTCAGCTTCTGAAGTATCATCTTTGACAATAAAGAAGAATGGTCAAACTACTCCATAGTGCAATACTGCCCACTGTAATAATTTTCTAAAGGAAGTTTTTAATTTAACCAGAGCAATTCTATTCAAACACTCATCTGTCACAGTCAAATGTTTGGGAACAGTTTACCTTATGCTACTTTACTAAGTAAAAATGTCCTGAATTCAACAATAATGCTAATCATGATGCTTATCATCTTATCAGCAATCCATACAATCACACTAGAACTAAAAGTGTCTCATTGTTTCTGAGTTGCACCGGCACAATGCATGACATTTTGTGCAAACATGTGCACTCTCCTCTACCTTCAAAGTCTTCTTTCAGGAAGTCTGGATTTGGCACATCTAGAATAGAGCAGTCTGGGCCAGAGTAACCAGAGTCACACTTACAGCGGGTGCCCTTCACACATGTGCCATGGCCACTGCACATATCTTGACACTGAAGACCAATGTAAACATTGTCCAGGGCCCAGGTTGAAGGTGCCATTCCAACCAAATAGAACCCCTGGTACCAACGAAACCGCACTGATCTGCAAGATAGTTAGTACACTGCTAGACCCTGTTGTAGCATACAAATAGGAGACTGTTCTCTAGTTTGTTTTACTCACCCACATAGATGCAGTTTTCCAAAGTGAATCACCTCCCTCCTCCAGCCCCGAAAGGTGCCAGGGTAGTAGATGCTGGCTGGGTGGAGTTCAATTGAACAAAGAGCATTGGGTATTGGGCCACCTGTGCACAAAGGAACTACAAGGTGCCATGTGGCCCCAAAGTCACGGGAGAACTCCAGACGCACAGAATGTAATGAAGAGCTTACTGCTGTACAGCCCACGTTTATCTGTTGATCATAATATGCCCATTCATAATATTTAACAAATACTGGGAGACTGCAAAATACCTTATGTGGTAATAAGAGTTAATTAGTATGATAATAATTAAGAAATAATCCATTTGTAAATGTTTCATGCTTGTAAAGCTTAATATGTTAATTATACCTCAAACTGGATAATTGTGTTCTCGTTGACATCAATATCTCTAGTGGTGATGGAATGTTCTCCCAGTTCACTAGACATAAATACCATGGCTGAGTCATCCTCCCTGTACATAGAGTGAACAGTTATTGCTAAACTAGAAACAAAATTGTACATTTTATTTTCCAAAATTGTAAAAATTTGACACTATCTACTGGGATACTCACAGCCTTGCTTTCTGGTAAAGACAGTAGCGGTCAATGTTGCCCCCTGGGTAGAACAGCCAGTTCGACTCCTGAGGCCCACTTTCAAAACTCTCTGATAGAATTGGAAAATTGTTCAAAGAGTGGCCATCAATGATGAGATCATCAATGATCCACACCTCCTCCTTTTTGCCTGTGAAGTTAATATAAAAGCTAATTCTTACTAACCAACACAGACATTGTGTTTTTAATTAAATAAAAAATAAATGTAATTAAATGTCAAAACTTGAATAAATCATGTACCATGTAATATTTTGAGCTTAAACATATTGGCTTTTGTCAGGTCAATCCCTACACCCACAGAGAACTCAGTTTCCCAGGACACACCTCAGCCTACTAACATGGCCAACGAACACTACAATTCCCAACACACACAGACTTTGGCATGTTCACACTCATCTGACTTCTAATCACATACACCTGTACACAATCACCACCCACAGTATTTAAGGACTTCAGTCTCACTCTCTCATTGCAAAATTATGCTCAGTGTCCTCCTATATGTGTCTGTATGTCTGTATGTGCTCTAATTGCACTGTTTGCACATTGCCTGTGAACTGTTTAGTAAACCCTCCTTGCAACTGCATCCACTTCTGCTTACCAGCTGTAACAGGATTTATTATTTTTCAACATAAATTTAAATTTATAACGCAAAACTATAACATACATTTAGTTCTGAAAAATGCTTGTTTCAAAAGTGCACCAGCAATTAATTCTTGGTGAAGTTTGGAGACAATAACAGCATTGAACCTCTTCCTGTAATGAAGTTTGGAGAAACTTGTAGGATGATCTTTAGCCAATCCTTCATACAGAGCATGTGAACTGCTTTGGGTGCTTTTCTTTGTATAAAGTCACTTTTTGTCACCAAACATGAGGTATTACTCGTACTTAATGGCTGGGATTGGTCCTGAGTTCTATGTGGAGTTTGCATTGTCTCCCAGAGTCTGTATGTGTTGCCTGTGGGTGCTATGGATTCCATTGCTTCTGAGCTCCAAATACAACTGCAGCCATGAGCACAGGGGCTTTTATATATGAATATAAGTATTAACTGTAAATATACAGTATACATATAAATCTTCAACTGTTCAGATTCTTGTTCTTGATTGACAGGAGTGGAGCCTGATGTGATCTTCAAGTTGTGATGTTTCCTTCATGCTGAGATGCTTTTCTGCTCATTATGTTGCCAAATCAGAAATTTTACACGTTTTCTCCTCTCATCATCTGTCCCCTGCTGAACGCAACTATTATGTGGGGAATCTGGAGTTGCTGACAGTAGACAGTAGAGTTAGTCCTGGAGGAGTGGAGGCACTGGCTCGAGGGGGCTAAGTAGCCGTTCATTGTCTGTACTGACCAGAAAAATCTGGCCCACATACAGACAGCTAAGTGCCCCCTGTTTGTTCCTGACTCTGTGCATTCCCAGGTACTTCAGTGGGCTCACTGGGCCCGCTGATCCGACACTTTTGGTGGCTGACTATGGATGCTGACACACAGGCCTTTGTGTGCTAGAAGTTAAGAATCACATCGCCTGTCTGCTACAGCCCCTGCCTGTCTCCCGGCTTGGACTTTGTCAAGGTAATTTTGTAGCTCTTCCCACAGCAGAAAGTGCAGCCCTCATGGTCAAGCATGTCTTCCATCGATGCTGCAAGATATGGAGTAAGTGACGTGTAGCCATGGTGACCCATACTTTGAATCTGTACTCTGCATTTAACTAACACACACACCTCTGAGAAGTGGGCAGCCTTTTTTGCTGCAGCACCCGGGGTTCAGTGCCTTGCTCAAGGGTCTCATCTCAGTCATGGTATTGAGGTTGGAAGAGAGCACTGGTCATTCACTCACCCCATCTACAATCCCTGCCGGACCTGAGACTCGAACCCATGCCCTTCAGATTCGCCTTCGGGTTACAGGTCTGACACTCTTACCATTAGGCCACGACTGCCCCCATATGGGGATAATCCCATTCCTCCCTGCTCCGCTCCGCTGACCATAACTGGAACCTGGCTGACTGCTGTTGGACTCCTGCACACCATCTATTAAGACTCTCATCCAAAGACATCCCCCTCAAGAATAACTCCAAGAAACTCACTATTTAGGCCAATTTATCATTGAGAGCATCATTAATGCCTCTGTGGTCAGACTCAAGCTCCCTAAAACATGGCGCATCCATCCATCCACATATCCCAACTTGAGCCTTCCCACAACAGCCTTCCGAATCCGGGCCTTGACCACACTCCCTTCCCCATACACTCTTACCTACCCTAAATCCCCATAAACCCCATTTAAACTTCAGTACTTGAGTCTGTGTTTTGTTTCTGGGTCCCCTTGTTCTTGTGATAACAGCCATGGTTGTCTGATACAAAACTGGAGAGGGCTTCTGAAAATCTGATGATGTACTTTATGGAGTTGGTGCCAAGCCAAGGCTACAAATATCGTCTTGTGATAATCAACATGTTTTCAAAGTGGGTCGAGAATTTTCAGAAGTGCTGCTGTATTTTCAATAATGACAGCATTAATGAGATAAATCATCCCCAGTTGGAGATCTCCGTTGAACAGTGACACTCATTTTGTAAATAGTGTAACTGAAAGTCTTTCAGAGAGCATATGAATTGATTTAAGGATGCACTGCATCTATGATCCTGTGAGTGGTGGTGCAGTAGTAAGGGCAAATTAAAAGATTAAGGGTGTTTTCACACTTAGTCCTTTTCAAGGGTCTGAACATGGTTCGCTGGATTTTGGCCCATGTGTGAACACTCCAAATGATCTCAGACCCTTTTAAAGTGAACAAAACCAAGACCATCTTGGGAGGTGGTCTGTGTACAGTTCCATTTCAGCTTACGGTACGGTTCGCTAAAAATGTGCACTGTGAACACAAACCTTTCTCTGATACAGAGGGATTTTCATACAGGCCTCCATACAAATCGACCTAATCAACATGGCTGCTTCTGCTGGAAGAGGGTTAGGGTTAATTGTTGTTGTGTTGATTTTGTTACTTATTTATTTAAAATTATCATTTTGTAGAAAGTTAAGTCGCTTTGGTTGTGTAGCAGCTCGCGGACACTCTCTTTCCACTTTCGGCGCTATCACCTCTAAATACTATTACCAAGCCCCTAAAATTGACATGCAGCTAGATTAACCATGGATTCAGGAAGAGCGGCTGCTTAACCGCAATAGCCATAAAAACAATGATCTGGACACATTGCAAAAAATGATCAGAAATGTAAGAGAAGCCCTAGAGATAAACAAAGCTCCTTCAGCAGGAGTTTCTTCACCATATTTTTTCTTGTCCTTATCCTCTGCATTCTTTTGCTGTGTTCTGCTTTGATTTCTTGCATTTTTTTAAATAGTGCTGTGATTTTTTGTGATTTTAAAAACATGTAGTACAGGAAAATTAGTACATGTTTAGGGTCAGCCATCTTACACAATATTGCTACACCCACAATGTACAGCATTGCAAGAGCAAGAAAGCAACAGTATGAACGCAAAGAGATCTGCGAGCCCATCACTGCTTAAATGGACCAAAAAAAGGATCCAAGTCCTCTTTCAGGGACAGGGATAGTGTGAATATAAAGAGAACTGTGTCCTTTTTCACTTGGTTCACCTCTTGGTCCACTTCAAGGGGTCTGAGTTCAGTTCTTTTAAAGATGACTCAAGTGTGAAAACACCCTAAGACCAACTTGACTAAAATCATGGCTGAAATAGGACCTTCCTGGATATAAGCTCCTCCACTCATGTTGATGTACAGTATATGTGAGGGCAGATTATCACCAAATAATGTCTTGACAGGGTGCTTGACATATGCTTATCAATCTTCCCCAGAACAGGTTGATGATGATGGCTCTGGATGATGACATTGTGAATTATTGCATAACCTTGCAACGTGTTTTGAGTTTTCTGTTTTCTCTAGAGCTCCTTATAAATCCATATCAGTCATTTAAAGGTCCATTCCTAATGACCACATGGCAAGGAAACTTTTGTTTCACTCGATGACAAGCAGGCATTGGAATGCTCCCATCCATTCTCCAAATGTGAGTGAACCCTTTGTTGGAGCATGCTCAGATACCAATGCATTGTGCACACTCACATAACAACAAACAGTTCTATTCAATTTTATTTATATAGCACTTTTAACAATGGACATTGTCACAAAGCAGCTTTACAGAAATCTACATATAAATTTAAATTTAAACACACACACCCCAAAATATCCACTCAATCAAAACGTCAACTACCATTTCTATTAAGCATTGCCTGTAATTTGTGTTTGCTGATTTGTGTCTAAAAACTGCCTCATATCAAAACTGAAGCCAAGCTACTATTGAAGAACTTCAAACCTTCAAATAAAATTTTAAGTCACCATTATTATTCATAATTAATAATTACATTATAATACTTGGTTTATGGTGATGGAATAATTAATAATAATTATTAAGTTCCAGCATGCTTCAAGGCCACCACCATCTTCCCCATGCCGAATTCTTCAGTGTCCTGCCTCAACAACTACCATCCCGTTGCAATCACACCCATCATCATGAAGTGATTCAAAAGGCTCGGCATGAGGGATATCAAAACCATGCCGCCCCCCTCACTGGACCCTCTGCAGTTTGTGTATCATCCCAACCACTCAACAAAGGACACCATCGCCGCCACTCACTTGGATAAAAAGGACACATATGTTCGAATGCTGTTCACAGACCTAAGCTCAGCATTCAAAACAATCATTCCTCAGCACCTGATTGGAAAACTGAGCCAGCTGGGCCTGAACACCTCCCTCTACAACTAGATCCTGAACTTCCTGACTGGGAGACCTCAGCCAGTCCGGATCAGGAGCAGCAACCCAAAACACCACCACACTGAGCACCGGGGCCCCCCAGGGCTGTGTCCTTAGTCCACTGCTGTTCACTCTACTGACTCATGACTGTGCAGGGATGCACAGCTCGAATCACATCATCAAGTTTGCCAATGACATGACTGTGGTGGGTCTCATCAACAAGAACAATGAGTCAGCATACAAAGAGGAGGTGCAGCAGCTAATGGACTGGTGCAGAGTCAACAACCTGTCTCTGAACATAGGCAAAACAAAAGCAATGTTAACTTCAGGAGAGCACAGAACAACAACTCTCACATCAACAGGTCCTCTGTGGAGATTGTCAAGAGCACCAAATTCCTTGGTGTTCACCTGCTGGAGAACCTCACCTGGTCCCTCAAATCCAGCTCCATAGCCAAGAAAGCCCAGCAGGTTCTCTACTTTCTATGAATGCTGAGAAAAGCCCATCTCCCACCCCACATCCTCAACATATTCTACAGAGGGACTATGAAGAGCATCCTGAGCAGCTGCATCACTGCCTAGTTTGGAAATTGCACCATCTCGGATTGCAAGACCCTGCAGCAGATAGTGAGGACAGCATTGTGGATGACCACACACACCATTCACACAAGCTCTTCACCCTCAACAAGTTGCACTGTTGAAATCGCCTACATTCGTTCAATTTAGCAGAATTTAGCAGTGAAAACTTGCACTGCTTTGAAATTTTATATACATATATAAGGATAACAGAATTATTCACATGCAATTAATGATTAGATTTACTTATACAGTAAACTATTATAATTTCAAACCTTTTTGATCACATCCAAACCCTTCCGATCATGTAATGGAAGTGGAGACAGATGCAATTGCAGTAAAAAGTGTTTTATTAGAGAGGCAGGCAGATATATCCAAAATGTGAATTAGGGTCAGCATAAAAAAAAGGCGAAGGTCAGGCAATGCGCAAACAGAGTAAACTAGGTTAATGCAAGAGTGTAAACGAGAAAACAATATCAAGAACCAGGAAATCGGAACACAGAACAAATGGCTCTGCAAAGTCGTGAGCAACAAAGAAACATGAGGTTGGTGTAAATACACAAACTAATTAAAGGGTAAATGGAAACATGTGGGACTAATCATGACACAGGAGACAACCAATAGCAATACAGGGGAGGAGACAGGACTTGAATCAAAACAAAAACACACATGGCATTGCAAACAAAGACATGACAATGCAGAAGTGCGTGCTTCAGTGCAGGGGGAAATACCTGACAGGCTCTTCGCAAATCTTTATCCCAAATTCAAAAATTCTCTTTCTATCCTTCTCTTTAATTTTATGTTCCTTTTCTTTCTTTTCCTTAATCTATTTTATCTTTAATTCTGCGCTCCTTTTCTTTTTCCTTAATGTATTTTCTCCTTAAAGCTGAGCTTCATTTCTTTCTTTAAATCAGAGATCAGAGTAGAGTGAAGCTGCTCTGTTACATGGCAAAAGATCTATGTCCACTCACAGAGTGAAGCATTAAGAGGAATTATAAAGAGGCATCGCCAAGTGCAATGCATTTAGGCTGATTACCTGCACAATGGAGTCAAGTAGCATCTGGCGTTGGGTCTGTGATAAAGACCAGTGTAGGTGGCTGTAGATGTGCCCGAGAAGACAATCACAGCGTTACAGCACCTCCCCCTCTAGGAATGGTTCCCAACATTCCCAGAACAGCTGCATGCATTGATGAAATTCCATAATGACCTCTGGGTCCAGCCTGTCCCGAGCCAGGACCCAAGAGCGTTCCTCTGGGCCATAACCCTCCCAGTCCACCAAGCACTGAGTGCTACTGTGAAAGTGGTGTGAGTCTAGGATACGTCTCACTGTAAAGGCTCCATCAATAATATTAGGTGGAGGAGGGGATGGGAGAGTGGAGGTTTTAACCATGAGACATAGAAGGTGGGATTGATCTTATTACAGGGAAGTGCTAGGCGGTACACCACTGGATTGATCCTTCTGAGGATCGTAAAACATTCTTTATACAGTATTGTGGGGCCAATTTCTTGGACTCCAGGCACAATGGAAGATTCCTGGTTGCTAGCTATACACACTGACCTGGCCAGAAGGTTTGGCTCAGATGCCTTCCACCTCTGTG